CCTGTCTTTTTACAATCTGCTAACCTGGCTTGAGGAGAAAGGGCCTGTCTTCAAAGAAACAGACATTGAAGGTTCCATTTCAAATCTGGATCCCTGGAGAATGTACCAAATGGAGGTGTCACCAAGAACAGTTTCCAGAAAGAGTCAAATCTGTTTGTGCAGAAGCTCTGGGGCCAGGTCTTTAGAAGGAACTGGCTGCAGAAAGGAAGCTCGTCCTGCACTGCCTGGTGCTGGCAGAGGTGGTGCAGAGGTGCTGCTACTTGGAGAAGTAGAAGAAGCAGTGGGTACCACCAGCACCGGATCACAGTTGGATGTTCTCGGCTGTTTGCTTCCATTCTTACCATTAAACATGTTGGAGAAAGAGGATGAGTATGCTACCAACCATGGGAGTGAGATTTGGGAATGGGGCCCTGGAAGTGGGTACAAATTCAGCTCCACCACCATTGGTAACTTCACTCAGTGGTCACTTCCTCAGAGCAGGCAGGAGGAGTCAGGCACTGTGCCATCCGTATAGATGGCAGGATTAGCGCAGAACAATTCCACATAGAGCGTTTGAAATAATTAAAAGTCGCTGGGTCATCCCTTGTCCCTTTTGGCAGAGCAGAACTCCACCATGCATCCCACAGGTAAATCAAGAAAGAGAAATGGTGTGGAGAGAGGGAGAGTCCCCTCACCTACTACCTTCTGGCAGGCTCAGACGCCATGTGTGTTGACATTGAGTGGGGTGTAAATATATGATTGTGTTTGTGTGTGTGTGTCCCCAGGTTATTTTCATTGTATACCCCTAAGCCTTTTCCCAATGTGCTGCTCTTTCATGTTTGTGTCTCATTTCACCCAGTTTGGGTGGGTTTTAGCCCCAACCCTTCCTGATCCCTGCAAGGCAGGATACCTGCAGGGAGCCAAAGTGGAGAAGCTAGTAGACCACTTAGTGCCTTCCCTGCTCTTTGGAGACTCGTTTATCCCAGTATTTCTGGAAACATACCGCACTTTCACAACCGCCCATCACGTATTGAACCTGCTGTTCAATAGGTAAGTGCCACCTCTGATCCTAGGGATGGGCCCATTGGCTAGGCCTTGGCATGTGCTGCACCAGTGAGGATCTGCTTGGATCCTGACTACTAGCATGCTAGGAGCAACATCCTCACTGCCTGAGGCTGGAGCGGTGGGATGGGCCCTGAACAGGCCTGTCCACATCATGACCTTACACACTAGGGAGCGCAGGGCTGTGGGCGGAGCTGGGAGAAGCCCCTCTCTCATGAAGGCCCCCTTCTCTACATCGAGGCCTCCTATGAATAAGACCTCAAGCAAAGCATTTTCCAAATTTAAAATGGTCGTTATGTTCCATCTGTGCATCTTGAGCTACCTGAACCTCACTAGGAAGCCCAAGGGAAACACTGAGAGATCCCATGCCCATTGAGGTGTGTGTGGGGGAGGAAGCTAGTGGGCTCTTCATCTTGTGGGGGGATGCATTTCCAGACACTTGGAACCACTCAGTGAAAGAACAGGGAAATCCTTGTCATCCTGAGCTCCATTCTCTGCTCAGAGAGACCATTGGGACTGTAGACGTCACATGCAGACAGTGTGTGTGTGACATTCTCATGGTGTCCCCTAGATAAAGTCATTTCGATGAGTATGAGGAAGAGAAGACAGGCACGCAGGAGCACCTCCAGCAGTGAGTGTGCCTGGGGGAGGAAGGAGGGCATGTGTTGAGGGTGGGTGCATTGGAGAGCTGCCTTTGGGGAGGCCTGGACCAAGGGAAATGGCAGCCACTTGGCTTGAGATTCCTGAGGGAGGGCTTGAGTCCAGGTAGAAATGTGTGCATGCAGGGAGCCAGTTTGGCTTGTTCTGTGCCTGAGGAGGGTGGAAGAAGCTTCTGGCACCATGAACACCCAGTCCCATATGCCTGCCCTGGGAAACCTCAGGGCTACACAGAGCAGGGAGGCCTTCTCTGCTCCATCATGAACAATCCCCTGAGATTCCAGGGGCCTCAGTGAGTGCTCAAGGGCCAGGATGTGCTGTTTGGGTTGAGTCAGGACAAGATCACTCACACCTGGCTCAAGACATAGAGGCCACTAGAGGCTGCCCAAGTGAGGAGATTCTGGGTTCTGGAGCTGATAAGCAACAGGACAAAGCACTCCAAAGATGACTCGGGAGCATGCCCAGGGACAGCAGGCGGTGGGTGTGGGCGGAGTGGTTTCATCTGTGATGTAGGTCTAGTCGCATCCCTCGTGTAGACAATGTGTGTAGTGCAGCCAGGTGACCAGGCCCGTTATGGGCTATGGGCATGAGCAGGCCCAGGAGCCCAATTCATACACCTGTGTTTGAGGGGGTCTGAAAGGAGGATAGGCCCAGCCTCTGAGTCTGCTGCTTCTCCCTCTGCACCTAGAGCCTTCTCCTTCATACTGGGCTCCTGGATGAGGGAGTACCCTGAAGACTTCACTGGAGCACCGGACACGTCCTGCCTGCAACACCTGGTAACATATCTACACCTCAATATGCCTGGCTCTGTGGAGGAGCAGCAGGCCCAACAGCTGGAGCACATGCATCCCAAGCATCCAGAGCTGGAGGGTGAGTAGCATGGGCTGGCAAATGAGAGAACGGGTCGGGGATTCTGAGCTTTCTCCACCTGAAGGAAGCTCCAAGCCTACCATGGGGCCATCAGCAGGACAGCCAGGGAACCTTGATGCCTTGGCATGAAGCCTCTCCTGGCAAGGCTTCTTGGGGTGGAGTCCAGGGACTAGGGGTTCTTAGGCAGTCAGGGGTGTCATGGCCTTAGGAATGATTGAGAGGAGGGCAGTGCTGTATGGGATCTTTTCTTGCAGCTGTTCCATCAGCTCTAATGCTTGATGAGAAAATTAGTGTACAAAAAGTCACCTAAGGCTGGGAAGGTGGCTCAGTGGTACAGTGCTTGCCTTGCATGCCTGAGGCCCTGGGTTTGATTCCTCAGCACCACATAAGCAAAAAGAAAAAAGCCAGAAGTGGAGCTATGGCTCAAGTGGTAGAGCGCTAGCCTTGAGCTGAAGAGCTGAGGGGAAGCGCCCAGGCCCAGAGTTCAGGCCCCAAAACCGCACCCAAAAAAAAAAAAGTCACCTGAACCATTGGATCTAACACCCTATGTAGAAGCAGTACTACAATGTCAGTCAGAGTTGGAACTAGCTGCAGCCTCAGAGCCCCCCCCTCAGCTCCAGGAGCTGCAGCGGAGCTCCAGTGAGAACACCATGCAGACAGATGTTCTGACTCACCTGCACCATTTTTGACCAAAGAGATCAAGCAACCTGCAGGTCAGCAAATGGTCCACAGCCTTCCACTGTCACCAGCACCAAGTCTGGATCTTGACCTGCAATATGCAAGTCCTCTAGCAGGTGAAGAAACAGTGGATAATCCCTCAGTGCCAGGGGCACTTAGCCCAGTGGTAGCAATGGCATTAGAGCCAGAAATCGATGCACCAGTCTATGCAAGAGAAGAGGGTATGCTACTGCCCACTCCAGAAGCCCAGCTGCCTGAAGGCCAGGGTGACCCAATTCTGCAACCCGCCCAAGAAGGAGAAGCATCTGCAGTTCAACCAGAGGCCCCCAAACCCACTGTAGTGAACAGCTCAGGGCCAGAGCTAGAAGCTGCAGGAGATGAAAGCCTTGGAGACTGCTGTCGGTCCATCTGGGGAGCAAGTGGAGTCTCTGGGTACATCTGGGGAGCAAGTGGAGTCTCTCGGTCCATCTGGGGAGCAAGTGGAGTCTCTGGGTACATCTGGGGAGCAAGTGGAGTCTCTCAGTCCATCTGAAGAGCAAGTGGAGTCTCTCCATCCATCTGAGGAGCACGTGGAGCCTCTCGGTACATCTGCAGAGCAAGTGGAGTCTTGCCCACTTTCTGGAGAGTCTGACTCCCTTGAAGTACCTGCCGGAGAGGCAGAGCAGCCTGCACAGAAAGCTCTGCCACCCAACCGTGATGTAGCACCCATCCCATCTCCGAAGCTGGATGCTGACACAGGCTTATTTATGTGATCCAATTAATGACTTTAACAAACACCATAAGCTGCCTGTGGCTGAAGACACCAATGGTGCTCTGCCTTGTGATGTCGAGCAAGAGTCTGCTTGCACACCATATAGCAAGGCAGACAGGCCTGCAGAAATAGACTCACCTCCCTGGGAGTGTGTGGAGATGGAGGATGTGCAGATTTCCTCCAGGAAGCCATCCTGGATTTCTCTGATGGAGTTAGACCATGATGTGGAGACAGACGGTGATATGGTTGCTGGAAGTGAAGGCGGAGCTGTTCTCCCTCATGGCTGTTGGGAGTAGCTTGCAGGGCTGGGCATGCGGGCTTTTCATTGCACCTATATTGCCGAAGCTGCCTCAGGACAGTCACGCTGACCATTTATTTCTTCTCTTCAGAAACTGTTCAAAGAGTTAGTCCCTTTATCACTGTTTGCATTACATATATATGCCAACCTGACTAGAAGGAGTGTCTAGAGTGCCTGGCACCCACTCTGCTTCCCATCCTGGAGCACTGTGAGCAGGTCTCCAGTTGTGTGATCATCACGTGCCTTGGGGACCACAGCATGGAGGCAGCAGAGAGAGCCCAAGTGGTGCAGCACTGGATAGAGGTGGCTCTGGTATGAGCAGGAGGGGCCCAGGGACCCTTCTTCCCTTTCCCACTCCCACCAGGTGGCTGCCTGCTCACTCACAGCCTCTGCCTAGCCCTACAGCCCCCCTCATACTCTGCCCTCACTTGGGCTGTGTGCATTCCTGCCCTGCTTCCACTGCCATTCCCCTCCCCCAAGCTGTCCCAGTACGAAAGGCTCAGCCCCAGGCCAAGCAGGACCCCAGGAGTTTCCTCCACTGCTCTCCTCACCCATTCTTCAGCCCTAGAAGTCCCACCTCCGTAAGAATATCTCCACCTTCGTTGCAATTGTGTGTGCTCTGCAGAGCAGCCAGCTCCAAGGCCTGAAGAAGACGTGGAGATTGGTTGGCAGGTGGGTGCACCTTTCTCCTGGGCAACTCTTGCTTTCTCAGCTTAGCGTCCATCTTCTGGGAGCCCAATGGCAGTGCCCCATGGCAGAGACCACAGCTCTATGGCCTTGCCTAGGATTTGCCTGCTAGGTTGGGATTCCTTTTCTGCCACACATTGCACAAGGCCCCTGGAGACTTTTTCCTTCAGAGACATCACAGCTACACCAGTCTGTGCAGTGCTCTTCCAAGCAAAACCACTCTGGAAATTGGGTGGAGCTGGAGGTTTCCCCTCAAGACTTTGCTCCTAACCATGTGACCTAAGGGTCACAGTGGCTCTCCTTGCACCCCTCTGTTCCCATTAGGATGAAGTCCGGCCTCAAAATGGGAAATCCATTCACACTCCTCCTCTCCCTCCCTCTTCCATCTGTCGCTTTGTCATCTGTTCCACAAGCCTTGAAATCTGAGTGTTGAAAAGTCTCCTTTGTAACAGCCATCATCTGTGTGGGAAGCTGCTGGCTTACTTCCATGCAAGTAGGGAAGCCTCCCTCAACCTGCTGGGAGGGAGTGGAGTCGCCATGCACAACTGCAGGACCCTGGGGGAAAAACAACCTGATGCCACACCAGACCCAGGGCAGTGCTCCAGGGAGGGAGACACTGCTGAGCTGCAAGAAGTGCTAAACTCAGTCAAACCAAAAATCACCATTCTTCCAACCCAAGTACATTCCTAAATCCATAAGCACACAGATGAAGCAAAACACAGGGAAACATGCAAAGGAGCAGACATAGAGCACAGAAAGCACATCAGTCAAATGCCAGAGCCACTCACAGATTCCTAAGGGAATATAAACCCTCTTCCCTCATCATTTCATTGTTCAAATAATTCTTAAATAGTTGCCCTCCTGGGCTTTTATGCCTGTTGTAGGAAGATATATTATCTTTTCTCCATTACACAGTTGAAGAAAGCCATGGCAAGAGCACTTCCCCTTTGTGTTTACTTCACAATACCAGAGTTCCAGTGGACAAAATGTCCACCCGGCCAAGCAGACACACATGACCAGGAAGGAAAGTGAGGACTATGCTCCTAGAATCCTCCACAGAGCAGTGGCAAAGGAGCCCAGCAAGAGATCAATAGAGGATAATGCACACTCACCATCTGGGAAGGGAATGTTGCTTCAATCCTCCACTGTAAATTACCTGCCAGATGCTTGTGGCTCATCTGCAATTACAGTGTCTCAACAGCCTAAGATCTTCAACCTCACACAACTGAGATACACGCTGCCATTCCAGATATCCTTGCAGACTGTTGAAACCAAACACAGAACTTAAGATGGTCAAAACTTAAAGCTTCATATCCATGGCCATACAGTGACAGATTACATGGTCAGAAATCATGTGGAGTTCAGCTTTTGCATGAACGTAACATTTCACAAAATGGTCAATTCTATCAGATGCAAGAATAGAATAGCCAACCCAACTTCCTAATGGAATCACTGCCCAAATGAATGACCTAACATCATCAGTGGTGGATGTGATAAGAAGGGAAACACCTGAAGATACAATGTTTACTTGAAAAGAGAAATGTTTCCTTTCTCCTGTGAGGAGATTTCAGATAGCTTTCCTCTCCTTTCTAATTTTGTCTTCAAAGATCATATAAAAAGAAGTGTCCTCTTTTCAAGTGGATATTTTCGTTCAGCTAAATATCGTGAATTTCCAGTTTTATTGGATGATAAGCAGAAAATCTTCTGGTAGAGATTTCTTTATAAACAGAAAATGTATTTGAGAAGAGAGAAGTTGTGTATTGCTATTTCATCTACTAAAGATGACCTGTGATCCACTGCCTATAGTAGATGAATTTTCTGGTCTTATTTTAACGTAAAGTATTTATCCTAATAATTCTCACATACTTTTGTATGAGGTTAGTTTTGTGTGTGTGTGTGTGTGTGTGTGTGTGTGTTTTGATCTTGGGACTTGAACCCAGAGCATAGGTACTGCGCCTAAATTTTATGCTCAAGGCTACTACTTCTGGCTTTTTGGTGGTTCATTTTAGATAAGAGTCTCTTGGACTTTCCTCCCTCTATCACCGTTGAACTGCGCTCCTCAGATCTCAGCCTCCTGAGGATCTAGGATTATAGGCATGAACCACCAGTGCCCTGCATGATGTCAGTTTTTATCATTGTTGGTGACACACCACACCAGTAATTTACTGCCTACTATTCTCTCAGGCAAATCTGTCATAGCACCTCCTGGTTTGTCCTAGTTCAGGTTAGACGAGGATCCTTTGAATCTGCAGTCAACCACAGAGCTAAACTCACAGGTGCATGTCACCACACCTAGCTCACTGTTTGAGATGGGGTCATGCTAACAGTTTTATTCAGCCTGGCTCTGAACTGTGCTCCTCCCAATGGCTGCCTCCACACTAGCTGGGACTGCATGCATGAGTCATGTGTCCAACCTCATGTAATGTTTTTTGGGCACAGGGTAGGTGGGAGGAAGATGTGAGGAGATGGATGAGATTGGTTAGGGAGGGATAATGCATAGCTCCAATCCATGCCTTAGGACCAAGGCCATGAGACTGAAGGGCTGGGTCTCATGTTCACAATGAGAAGCAGAAAAAGCTCTTCCCTTTGTCATTGTGGCAACCCCAGCTTTTCTGAAGACACAGCTTCAGATGGACTGGAAGAAATACTGGGGTTTCAACACAGAAACCTTTGTGCTTCAGTTGTGAGATGTGTGGGCCACACACTCCTTCCTCGTTGTACATAATACAGGAATTCCTGCTTGGAGCTACCTGTCCCATTTCTTCTTTATCATTCTAGGTAAGGGCTGAGCTTCACACTCATTCTGAGATCCAGATGATTCTTTTGAATTTAAAGGTGAAATACAGAGGGATTACAGTTAGGCCCTGAGTCCGTTTCTTTTCAAAAGTGTCACCCCTTCCCTCCAGTTCTCCCAGTGTTGTCCTCATGACTCCCCTTACCCCCCAAGTGATAGAGTTCATTTCCTTACTTTTGCTTACACCACTGAGAAGTAATCTCCAAGGAATTTTCACTTTCTGTTCCCATTGAAATCACTAGAATATAGTGGACAGAGGTCATCAGGGACAGAGACTTCAAAGTCAGGCTGCAAAATGAAAGGACAAATTGCTCAGTTCAGACTCCTAATTTTAGTAGACTACAATGGCAGCTACAGTGAAAGGCCTGTGAGATTCCTGCCTCACCATCATGGGCAAGAGGATGTTATCCTTAAACTGTGTCCTGCTTTCCAAAGACCGTGAGAGATCCAGTCTCACAGTTTACAGGCACTGGGACTCCAGACATTCTGTCCATCACTTTTCTATCACTGGGAGGTTTACATCTGCAGGGAATGTTAGCATACAATTTTCTGAGCTCCAGCCAGTATCTATGAATACTTGCAACTGAAATTGCTTCAGAGCCCATGCGCTCAAGGCTGGTCACTAGCCTCTGGTGTTACTTAGGAGACAGAAGGAAATAAGTCATGGGGTCCCCATGGCAAGGGTTGTTGGGACCTTGGCTTCTCCACTCTGTTGTTTCTTCTGCTTCTGACCATCACCAACTCAACAGCTTTGTCATGATTTCTGCCTCCACACAGGCTCAAAGAAAGGGGGCCAAGTGACCATGGATGGAAATCCATAAAACCTTGGGCCAAAAGGATCCTTTTGTCCTTTTACAGGCTTTGGTCAGGTGTTTGGTCACAGCCATAGAAGATGACTAAAGTGGTAGTTTTGGCCTGGAGTCTGTGAGCTGCTTTTGTGTGCTACCTGTGGAAACAGGAGGTTGAGGAGGCTAGCCAGCTCTATCTGCACACTGCTGTCCAGTAGGACTTTCTGTTGTGACTAACATCCCCCGAATGCTCTGCAACCCCATTGTCACAGGTGGCTACTGGACACTTGGAATGGGACTTGAGCATTTGAGAGAATATTCAGCATTATTGGACTTGAGTAAATATAGTGTTCATAACCCTACCTGAGAGTAAGGACTTGGATAAAGAATGGGTAGAAGCATTCCTGGGACCTTGGCCAGAGAGCCTTTAGTTACAAAATTACAGGAAATGACTGACTCCTCACTTGCAGAAGTCAAGAATTCTGCCACAAACACAGAGCCACAAATTCCGATTTGTCAGGGTGTCCTTACTTCTAACGGAGATCTCTCCAGAGCTGCCATCTGCTCAACACCAGAACATGGATAGGTTCAGAAAATCCTGAGGCTCATTTCTTTGGCCATACTGCTTTGCTTTTCTGTCTTAAAGATGGAAGGCTCCTAAGAATCCCTGGCTATTTCTGAATACACAATAGCTCATTTCATAGCCCCTAACCTCCTCTGCCGTTTGACTGAAGAAATCTTTCTTCCTCTTCCATGAGCATCTTTGTCTCCTCTGCTTCTATGACTAATCTTGCATTGGGCTGTCTTGCAGAGGGCTATCTATAGATGTGATGTGAGATCACATGGAACACAAGTAAAAGCTCCTTATGTACAGGCATGACTAAGTCACTCAGGTTTACATGCACATCATGGAAGAACCCCATCAATTCCCTGGGGAAACTAAGCATATGGGATACACCTATAATCCAGGATGTATGGAAGGCAGAGGTAAATGCATTGTATTTGTATATGTTCCTCATTCTTGGAATCATTCTTTGGAATGGAATTTCTCCAATTGAACTTGATGAAATCTGTGTGTGTGTGTGTGTGTGTGCGTGTGTAATGCACATTTCAAGGGTTATGTCGTCTTGTGTTTTCCTAGTGAGGTGATGAACCGGCTTTGTTCCATAGCTGACAGACAAAGCAGCCATGGAAATAAAAAGAGCAGCCCCCAGGCAAAAGTAATTATCCCACAATTCCAAAAAGAGTAGATGAAAACAGGACATAAGATAATATTCCATAAAATAAGATATTAGTTATGATGAATAGGAATGAAATTTATTGGAGAAAATAGTACTTGAGAACAAAACTAAGCAAAGGAGAAAAACAGGAGGATGTACAGGAATAAAGTCAATACAAAGCAGGGTGAGAAGAAGAGAATAGAGAAGATCCAGATAATGTGAAATAACAAAGAAAATAATGACATACAGCATAACAAAATCAAATTAAAGAATTGTAGGTTGAAGGATGATGAAGAAGCAATGTAGGCACAAGGCTCCTCAGTTCAAATTCCAGTTCAGACAGATAGAAAGATGAAGCAAGGAAGGAATGAAGGAAGGAACGAAGGCAGGAACGAAGGAAGGGAAGGAAGGGAAGAGAAAAATAAAGCAAGATAGAAAAAGGGAGGGAGGAGGAAGGAAGGAAGGAAGGAACAAAGGAAGATTGGAAGAGAGGAAGGAAAGGAAAAGAAACAGGAACAAAGCAAAGAAGGAAGGAGGAAAGAAGAAAAGGAAGTAAAGGCAGAAGAAAGGAATGATGGAACAAAGGAGGAAGGAAAGATGAAGAGGGGCTGGAAATAAAGAATGAAAGACACCAAAATCATCTTTTGTAGTCACAGACCTAAGGCACAAAGAATCAAGCAAGTTGATGTGAGCTGACAATTAGATCCAATTTCTAATTATTAAACAGAAATAGTATTTGTTCCAATCCACTGTATAGTATATAGTTTTTATAAGTGATATAGGTTGGTGGCTCAAGCAATGTTATTTAGTAAGAATGGCTAGAGTGGTCAGTCAGTTGTGGTTTTTTAAAGACAGAATGTTCAAAGCATTTAGAAGTACCCCATACATCACTGCATTTATTTTATTTTGTTACAAACAATAAGCTTGTCTCCCAATTATCCATACACTTATTGTAACTTCTCAAATAAATGAAACTATCGTGAGCAAATGTGACTTCCTTTTTTGATTTTGTTTTGTTTGTTTTTAAATTGCAGAGCTTTTCTACTATTCACATCATCAGGTTTGATCACAGTAACATTGTACTTTTCTCCCCCCCCCCCTGGAGGGGGGCGGAAGGGGGGGAAACAATAGTAGGTCACAGTCTTGGCTCAAAATCATGATAATAAGAGGTGTGGTGTTCAGAAATGCCTATTTTCTAAAGTGTGGTGAAATTTGATCACTGAAAGCTTTGTGTGTTCTGTGGTATTTCCATTCCCCAAACTTCCACTTAGAAACAAAGCATGTTTCTTATATGTACCCACAGGGGAAGCATCACCAAGTTTTTAGGAAGGGAGCAAAAAAAGTGCATAGTTCAGCATAGGTGATCCTGACAGAATTCACAGGCATCGCAATTGACATTCACGGCTCATGTAGATCTGAATGACCAAGGAGAGAAACTTCAACCACATCCTCTACAAGACTCAAACGACAAAGTTACCATCTGTGACTTCTCTATCCATAAGACACACTTCATGGCAAGTAGCTGGCTGAGGGTGGCTATTTGTCTCAGATGTCTTTCTGAATGAACACACATCCACAGACACACAAACAGAAACCCAGACAGGCAAACAGGCACAGGGAATCCAGTCAGGGCATAAAACTGTCCACTGTTTTCAGAGAGGAAATGATTTTCCTATGGCTTTGGAAATGGATGATGGATGAACTGGAAGTCTACTGTTCCGGCTAGTTGTAAGAGTCATTAGTTTATGGATTGGGATAACCTGTGAAGACTCCAGACCCAGAGACCAAAGCTACAAGATGGAGGAACAGAAAACAGTGACTTTCAGAGCTGAGATATGCAAAGAAGGACACATAATCTGAACAGTCCTTCGTTGTCTAACATAAGGGATAACCAGTTGTTTGTAGCAACAAGTATGGTAGTAATGAACACCACTGTACAGGAAAGCTTAGCCAATACTATAAAGATACTTACCAACATATTCCGAATTTCATCCCCCATCATCCCCTCTTAATGTGTCGCCAGGTACAATTTTGTAATACTGTGAAAGAGAAACACAAATAAAGTATAAATGCACAGGAATATAATGATGAAAGTATACTTAGAAATTTTGTTTCTAGTAAATGCTCATGCCTCAAAAAACCATACAAGGTAAAGGAGCAAAATGTCTTTGATGTCTGAGGCCAAATGTTTCTGAGAAGTAGTATTATATTATTCAAACACCCACTTTGTTCTCAAGGGGCGTGGTGTGAACGAATGTTTCCCAAAAGGCATGTATAAAATTGAGATTTGGTGCCCAGCCCTGGTGCTAAGAAGAGCTCATGAAGCTTTTAAGAGGTGAACCCCAGTAGGAGGAAGTTAGGTCCAAATATTATGTGTGGAGGGAGGCAAGGAGGACATGTGTGCGGGTGGGGGGGGGAGAGCAGGGAGGAGAGCCACCTCTCCACTCTTTACCCTTCTTAGCTCCCATGAGGTGATGAACTTAGTTTACCATAAGACACCCACCATCATGTTCTGCCCACCACAGCACCATAGTCAAGAGCTTGTGCACTGAAACCTCTGGAGCCACAACCCTAAATACACCTTTCCTCCAAGTGTAGTTTAGTGAAATCACATAAATGCAATCTCTTTAAAAACTTAGAAGAGGCAACAATAGACAGCATTACATGACCTGAGGATAAACTATTTCACCCTTCATTATTTCCTACTCTCTGTTGACCAAGCTAATGACTTTTCCTTAACAAGGAGCACATTTGCACCCTGCACTTTTGCAATGGTTTTGCCATTTAACAGTAGAGAGGAAAATATGAAAGACTTTATTTTCCGAATAAATCAAGGATTCATACTGAATGTGGACCATTTACCATCCCTGCTCCTTATGCATCTTCTTTTGGGTACTGTGAACAGGATATTAAAGTTCAATGATGATGATGTGAAAATTTGTAAACCCAACTCTTTGGTTTCTTCTTCCAGTGTGTCTGTCTTCCTTCAACAGAAGGTGTGGCGGCATCCCCTAGTACCTCAATGAGAGGAACAGTCATGAGACTCACCTTAGTCACCCCTGCTTTAAATCTGAGGACACAGTCACCACTGACCTGTATCTCAGCAGCACAAAATGACAAACAACTAAAACATAGCCATTTTCTTAATCATCACCTGGCCACATGAATGTCAAATTGTGGGGAATAAGGAGACAAAAATCAGATTGAAGGAGTTGAAGGGTGATAGGATAGAAAGGACTAGAAAACAAACACAAACTC